CTTACCAGGTCCCTAACCACAAAAAGACTTCAACAAACCCATAAGGTTTAGTGTTTTTTTTGTGTGTTTGTATTGATTGAGTGGTGGGTCGTGGCAAGGGTGTAAGGGATTCACTAAACATTTTCTCTCCCATATATTTTTGTGACACAGCTTACAGGCAACTTCTATAAAACTTTGATATTGTGTTGTCTTGTTTTTTTTACAGTTTTTTTTCCGTGGTCATCAGGTCACCTGAAAAAGAAAACATGTGAAACCAAAACGAAAACAAAGTGAAAAAAGAAACACGAAAAAAACATTGCAAAAATGAAAATAGATAGTTTGTTTTTTTGTGTTTTTTCCTTGTTTTTTTCTTCACACCATGTTGGAAAAATGTTCAAGTCACAGGGTGTGTTTGGATCAGGATAAAGCCGTTTTATCTTTACTAAGCCCTAACCATTTGCGGTTATTCCATATTCCCCATGGACATCGATACCAGACGTATAATCTTTACTAAGCCCTAAACGTTTTTGCTGGAACTAACGTTATCCTGAGGCCAAGTGTTTAATAAACACTTTGTGATATTGTACCATCTAGATTGGATTCGTTGCCCTGGGTAGCCACCATGACACCGAACAAAGCTTACTAAAGATTTTGCCCCCCATGAAATTTTAGTGGGTTCCTTAAAGAAACAATTTTGATGGTTTTTTACATGCATTTCGGTCTCGTTAAGCCCCCAAAATTTCAGGGTTATTCTCACAAGCCCCCAATGCTTTAGTAAGCCCTGCTAAGGTTTACTAAGGTTTAATAGGCTCCCATGTGTATATGTATACATAGTGCACTAAAGTGCCAGAACGTTACTAATCCTTATGGTTTTGCCGGGTGTTGTGTGGCGGGGGGGGTTTAGAAACCTATGATATATCATTTTCTTGGGTTTCCAAGGCAAAGCCATTATTAAGGGCTACTAAGCCAATTCTGTTTTTCCTTGTGGATGAGGGTCTCTGATTGCAGTTTTTAAGATTGTCCCCCATTACTGTTTCTGGTCCATGCATCCTACAAAACCTTGGTTTCTTACCAAGCCTTGCTACCAATCATGCTTTCGGGGACAAATTCAATCATCTCTAGTGCTCACATTCTGGACCCAAAATCCTTGGTGATGCTTGGTAAGCTACCAGGATCTGGGGGGGTCAAACTGGGGGGGGGTGGTGGTAGCCTATGATACTTTTCGACCCTCCGGAGCCACAAATCATTGTAAAAACACAGTGTTTGCGACTTTCCTACCTTTTCAAGCACCTGGATCTTCTTTCTTCTGAGACTTCCTCTTTTTGATCTTCTTTCTTCTTCTCTTCTCTTCTCTTCTCTTCTCTGACTCTTACCACCTCTGCTTTTCCATCTGTCCATATTGTCGGAAGTTTGACTTCTAAACTTCCTTCCTGTCTGTCTGTCTGTCCGTCTGTCTGTCCGTCCGTCCGTCCGTCTGTCTGTCTATCTGTCTGCCTGCCTGCCTGCCTGCCTGTCTGTCTGTCTGTCTGTCTCTTTGTCTCTCTGTCTGTCTCTCTGTCTGTCTCTCTGTCTGTCTCTCTGTCTGTCTCTCTGTCTGTCTCTCTGTCTGTCTCTCTGTCTGTCTCTCTGTCTGTCTCTTTGTCTGTCTCTCTGTCTGTCCCTGTGTCTGTCTCTGTCAATGTCTCTGTCTCTGTCTGTGTCTCTGTCTGGTCTGTGTCTCTGTCTGTGTCTCTGTCTGTCTCTGTCTGTCTGTCTCTGTCTGTCTGTCTCTGTCTGTCTGTCTCTGTCTGTCTGTCTCTGTCTCTCTGTCTCTGTCTCTCTGTCTGTCTGTCTGTCTCTGTCTGTCTGTCTGTCTCTGTCTGTCTCTGTCTGTCTGTCTGTCTCTCTGTCTCTGTCTGTCATCCTGTCTCTGTCCCTCTCTCTTGGCTCTCTGGTCTCTCTGTTGCCCCGAAGAACCCGTGTTTTGCTTAAGACTGGGGGTGGGGGGGGGGGGGGGGGGGTGTCCGGAAGGGGGTGGTTTTCTCTTCTCTTTTTCGGTTCCCGGTTTTTTCTTCGGTTGTGTGGGGGGGGGGGTGTTTCACCGCCAGGTGCTAAACCTTCATTTTAAAAAATAATTTTCAAAAATAGGTGCTCAAATTTATGGAAATAGGTGTTTTTTTGAAGAAACCGGGTCGGGATCCAGTCGGGACCCAGTCGGGACCCAGTCGGGACCCAATCGGGCACCAATTTTTGCATTTTTGGGCACCGCTTTTGGCCAGTCGCGATCCAGTCGGGATCCAGTCGGGATCCAGTCGGGCACCAATTTTCGAATTTTTGGCACCACGTTTGGACCTGTCGGGAAGCAGCCAAAATCACCGAAAAACATGCAAAAACACTGCAAAAATGCTATTTTTTATGAATTTGGCTGCCTCCCGACATTGGTGCCCGACTGGATCCCGACTGGATCCCGACTGGATCCCGACTGGCCAAAAGCGGTGCCCAAAAATGCAAAAATTGGTGCCCGACTGGGTCCCGACGGGATCCTGACTGGATCCATAGATTGGCAAGAACCCACTCCCGCACCTATTTTTCCCTTCCCAGACCCCCCCTTGCCCCTATTTTCCTTTTCCGCGCACCAGCCGTGCACCAATACCCCCCCCCTCCTGCACCAAAACGGTAAAAGCAGTCTTAAGCCAAACGGGGGTTCTACAATATATATGTATATGTATATATATGTATATATATATATATGTGCCAAGAGGCATCTCTGTGATCTACTATATAATGTAAATATTTACAAGATTGATAGTTAGATTTATAGATAAATACATAACTTCGTACATCTAAGTGTAAAACAGCTGGCCACAACTGTTTGCAGACCACCCATAACATCATTGTGTTGAGCAAACTGCTTTCCGTGATAGGCCTTGACGCGTTTAAAACTTACCAGCTAATCACATCGTCTTGATGTTCCAATCACTAGTGATTAGAACCACAGTTGCAACCTAATGATTCTTTAGCCCCAAGAGTCATCATTCCTTCACTCCTCTCACTGCCTCTCATTCCCTTCCTTCCGTTTTTTTCGGCAATGCAATTGCTGCTGTTTTCCTCGTCCTTTCATTTCACACAAGCCACCCTTTTCCCATCTTTCGCCACTTTCACTCTGCACAGGCCGCCTTTGTCCCATGCAAGCCCGTTGCTGTGTGGAAATCTGTCCCACTTTGGATCTGCCGCACCATCATCTATTGCGCTTCATAATCTTTTTGACAGCAAGATTCTGCTTCTTCCTTTCTTGGCGGGCAGCCCAGCCTGCAGAAGTTCGGGCTCGCTTGTTGCTCATCTCAAAGAAGAGAAAGCTCGGATGATGAGAATCGCCGTCAAAGCGCCGAATCCCAACATCAAGGGGCTGAAAATCAATAGCGCCATGTCGTGCCAGTTTGACTCCACGAAACGAAGACCAAGGGCGCATAATCCAGCCAACGCAATCTGATGCAGCTGTTCCCAACAAGTCGATAGGCATCCTTTTTTGAAACTTCAGCCGGTCAAGCACTGCAATGGTAGCTGCGTGGTATGGCGAAATTTCTCGCTTGCGAGGACAAATCCCTTGATTCAGATCGCATCCGATCAAGTCTACGTTGTATTGGTTGGCGAGAGTCAAGAACTCGTCCAACACCTGAGTCGCGACATCTGGTGATTTAGCAACAACATTGTTCAAATGAGCACTTCCTAAGGTGACCTCGCGGACCCCCCAATCGTGAGGTGCCTTTAACCTCAAATTGACAAAAGTGGCAGTAAGAATCCAGCGCCCTTGAGCGTCGGTTCGAAGATGCTCGTGAATAACTTCGCCACCCTCGAGGAATTGATCACCAATAAACACCCAAGCTGTAATGTCTTCGTTGTTAGGCCGAAACACTCTACAGCCGTGCCGCAGCAGTTGCTCGTAGACCTCATCATTTGCTTCCTGGATTGCCCCGCAAACAAAAGATTTCGAGCAGAACAAGCCCACGTCTAGTCGCTGCCTGGCTGCGCCCACGTTCCAAGACACCATAGACAACGTATGACGCAAAGCAGCAGACTCCCGGAGGCCAATTTGTATCCTTTGCTGGACAGCACAATATCGCCAAGCCAACGAAGGGTGCTCTTCATTAGATCCAGCTGCCACGCTACCTTCGGGGACCCATTCCGTGTGAACACCAGCCAAAGCATAGTCTTCCTCCGGGTTTCCAATGCCATGATGAGTGAATTGGTGGTACGTATGATCAACAATCATCGCAGGGGTTGCATCTACAATTGCTTGAACGCCGCCTTTTGAATGCCACAGTTTTTCACAATACTGAATAACCCATGAACTATACAGCAAATTCACTGTTTCCTCCAAAGGCTTCTGCCGGCTCAGCAATGTCGGGACAGCATTGTGAAATTCTCGCTCAGCTGGCCACTGGGGCCAATCACTCAGCTGACATCCTTCCGGATGGAGTGTTGGATGAAGAGCGTCTAGGGCTAGCCAAATAGAGTTGTAAGCTGTCTGCATATCTGCTCGGTTTTTGCGCCCTCTTGGAAGAGCGGCTTTATCGTACACCCAACCGATCCCGAATTTGCGGCGAAAGTCAGATCCAAACTCTTCTGATGCCTCTTGCGTCCAATCCTGCCATGGCAAAGACTCCATGGCACAGAATGCCCACAAGGAAAAAATGGGGTTGCTTCGCCTTGTTTCGGTCACTTCTTTATATGATTTAATTTCCGTGCGCAGGCACCACCAAGGGCGGGCACAGGCACCTCTATATAACTGTTTTCAATCACTGCATCCTAGACCGATGGAGTACTGTGATGCAGGTGGCAAGCATGATCTCACTGTTTGAACGAATTTTTGTCCAATCGCTTGAATGATTATCATTGGTAAACGCTGCGCTCAGGCACCACCAAGGGCGGGCTCAGGCGTCAAAACAAAACATGGCATCAAAAGGAGTCATGATGATGTTACTGATGATTTGCTATGATGATTGGGCTAGATGATTATTCAAACACTTCGTTAGCTGCTTCCTTGTTACCCTCCGCGTTGAAGCTTGAGATGGAAAATCTGCCAATGTAATACCAAGGGGCCTAATAGGAGCTGAATGGATTGAACTGCAATACCTTTCATGCCCCAATCGGTTGTTGACACGTATAACCAATGCACAAAAATAAAGCTCAGAGGAGGTTGCGGTAGTATTTACTTTGGGTGCGTACAGATGAGGTAACAGGCAGCCTCTATGCCTAACAATATATTTATTCAATATGTCTCTTTGATCTAAATACATGTGAAAAATGCAACTAACTAAATATAAATATTTGAAAATAATAAATGATAATTAATAGGAAGTAAAAAATATATATAGATAACGATAAATAAATAAATAAAAATAAAAGTAAATAAAAATAAAACATAAAGAAAAGATAATAAAAAATAAACAATATTTTTGAAAAATATTGTTTTTAAAAATATAAATAAACGTAAAAATCAAAATTATATAAAAATATATATATAATAAATAAAAAAATATAAAAATAAAAATATGTAGATATATATTTATAAATTTAAAAATTAAAAAATAAAAAGCAATATAAAAACAAACAATAAATAAAAATAATTAAATAAAATAAATAATAAAAATACTTAAAAATTGAAGATAAAAATCAAAAATATGAAAAATAATGATAAAAAAAACAGAAAAATAGTAAAAATACACATACGAAAAAAAAATAATGATAAAAATAATGAATTTAAAAATTAACAAAAATAAAAAAAATATTAGTAAGTAATAATGAACTATTTATTATTTTGAGAAAATATGAATTTAAAAAAAGAGTAAAAAATAATAGTATATAATAAAAATATACATATATATATACATATATAATAAATAAATAAAAATAATAATAAAAAAATAAATATCTAAAAATAAAAAAAAATAAAGATAATTAATAATACTAATAAATAACAACTAATTACTAAAAAGTAAAAATAGATTTAGATTAATAAGAATAGTAATAATAAAAGTAAAAAGAAATATATATATAAATATATATAAATATATATATATATTTATATATAAATATTAAAATATAAATATATAAATTGATTTATAAATAAAAATTTTAATATATATATATAATACAAATAAAGTATATATATATGTATAAATATATAATTTTCTTTACAAAAAATATTTAAATATATATATATAATATAAATAAAAATATATATATATATAATATAAATAAATAAATATATATATATATAAATATATATATATACAATTATATATATATATTTAAATAAATATTCAAATGTATATATATATATAAATATTAGTAAATAAACAAATATCTATATATATAAATAAATAGTTTAAAAACAATAAATAGCAATAAATTAAAAAAACAAAGAATTATTAGAAATTAATAGTAAAAACCTTAATGAAGAAAAAAATAACAAATATTGAAGTTAAAATTAAAATTAAAAAACAAAAAATAATAATTAGAAAACAAATAAATAGTAATATTTCAAGTATGTGAAATCTTTGAAAAATTTGAAATATTGGAAATATTTGGAATATGTGGAATATTTGAAATATTTCAAATATTTGGAATATTTCAAATATTTGGAATATTTAAAATATTTGAAATATTTGAAATATTTGGAATATTTAAAAATATAAATTAAAAAGCAAAAAACAATAATTAGAAAACAAATAAATAGTAATATTTCAAGTATGTGAAATCTTTGAAAAATTTGAAATATTTGGAATATTTGAAATATTTGAAATATTTGGAATATTTGAAATATTTGAAATATTTGCAATATTTGAAATATATGGAATATTTGAAATATTTGAAATAATTGATTTTTTTCAATATTTGATATATTTGGAATATTTGAAATATTTGAAAAATTTGGAAGATTTGAAATATTTGAAATATTTGAAATATTTGAAATATTTGGAAGATTTGAAATATTTGAAATATTTGGAACATTTCAAAATATTTGGAATATTTGAAATATTGAAAATATTTGAAATATACGAAATATTTGAAATGTTTGGAATATTTGAAATATTTGAAATATGTAGAATACTTGAAATATTTGGAATATCGGAGATATTGAGAATATTTACAATATTTGAAATATTTGACACATTCAAAATAATTTGACATATTCAAAATATTGAAGAAAAAATCAAAATATTTGAAATATTTGGAATATTTGAAATATTGGAGATATTTAGAATATTTGAAATTTTTAAAAGATATTTGACCTATTGGAGATATTTAAAATATTTGAAATATTTGAAATATTTAAAATATTTGAAATATTTGGAATAATTGAAATATTTGGAATATGGTAAATTGAAATATTTGGAATATTTGAAATATTTGAAATATGTGGAATATTTGGAATATTTGAAATATTTTAAATATTTGAAATATGTGGAATATTTGGAATATTTGAAATATTTGAAATATTTGAAATATTTGAAATATTTGAAATATTTGGAATATTTGAAATACTTGAAATATTTGGAATATTGAAATTTGAAATGTTTGAAATATTTGGAATATTTGAAATTTTTGAAATATTTGAAATATTTGAAATATTTGAAATATTTGGAATATTTGAAATATTCGAAATATTTGGAATATTGAAATTTGAAATGTTTGAAATATTTGGAATATTTGAAATATTTGAAATATTGGAAATATTTGAAATATTTGGAATATTTGAAATATTTGAAATATTTGGAATATTGGAGATATTTAAAAAGATTGCAATATTTGAAATATTTGACATATTCAAAATATTGAAAATATCTAAAATATTTGAAATATTTGAAATATTTGAAATATTTGAAATATTTGATATTTGGAATATTTGAAATATTTGAAATATTTTGAATATTTGAAATATTTGGAATATTGGAGATATTTATAATATTTGAAATATTGGAAATATTGAAATTTGAAATATTCGAAACATTTAAGATATTTAGAATATTTGAAATATTTGAAATATCTGAAATATTTGGAATATTTGAAATATTTGGAATATTGGAGTTTTTTAGAAGTTTTGCAATGTGGGAAAGATTTGACATATTCAAAATATCTAAAATATTTCAAATATTTGATATATTTGAAATATTTGAAATACTTGAAATATTTGGAATATTTGAAATATTTGAAATATTTGGAATATTTGAAATACATGAAATATTTGAAATATTTGGAATATTTGAAATATTTGGAATTTTGGAGATATTTGAAATATTGGAAATTTTGAAATTTGAAATATTTGAAATATTTGGAAGATTTCAAATATTTGAAATATTTGAAATAATTGGAATATTTGAAATATTTGAAATTTTGGAAATATTGGAAATATTTGAAATATTTGAAATATTGAAGATATTTAGAATATTTGAAATATTTGAAATATCTGAAATATTTGGAATATTTGAAATATTTTGAATATTTAAGATATTTAGAATATTTGAAATATGTAGAAAAGTTTGCAAAACAAAAGTAAAAGGTAGATCATAGGGGTGCCTGTTGCCATATATGTATATATATGTATATATATGTGTATATATGTGTATATATATGTATATGTATATATATATGTATATAAAGGTATATATGTGTATATATGTATATATGTGTATATATATATGTGTATATATGTGTATATATATATATATGTATATATATATATGTATATATGCATATATGCATATATGGATATATGTATATATGTATAGATGTATAGATGTATATATGTATATATGTGTATCTGCATATATGTATATATGCATATATGTATATATGCATATATGCATAGATGTATAGATGTATAGATGTATAGATGTAAAGATGTATAGATGTATAGATGTATAGATGTATAGATGTATAGATGTATAGATGTATATATGTATATATGTGTATATGCATACATACATGTATATATGCATATATGTATATATGCATATATGCATAGATGCATAGATGTATAGATGTATAGATGTATAGATGTATCGGTTCTCTCTTCTCACCTTCTTGACCTGGATGGTCGCCTCGACCTTGATATGTATCTGTATGTATCTGTATGTATCTGTATGTATCTGTATGTATCTGTATGTATCTGTATGTATCTGTATGTATCTGTATGTATCTGTATCTGTGTGTATCTGTATGTATCTGTATGTATCTGTATGTATCTGTATGTATCTGTATGTATCTGTATGTATCTGTATGTATCTGTGTGTATCTGTGTGTATCTGTATGTATCTGTATGTATCTGTATGTATCTGTATGTATCTGTATGTATCTGTATGTATCTGTATGTATCTGTATGTATCTGTATGTATCTGTATGTGTCTGTATGTATCTGTATGTATCTGTATGTATCTGTATGTATCTGTATGTATCTGTATGTATCTGTATGTGTGTATATGTATGTATCGTATGTATATGTATGTATATGTATGTATATGTATGTATATGTATAGGTATGTATGGATGGATGGATGTATGGATGTATATTGTCATATTTGTATATATATATATCATATTTGATGGATGCTGTATGCATCTGTCCCAGACAGGCACGTAGCTCACATGCAGCTAGTGAAAGCATTACGCAGCAAAGTTAGGGACCAAGATCCATTGCAAGGCCTTCGGTTGTGATTCCAAGATTTAAAGAGTCAAATGATGGCCAGATGGTGAAAATTGGTTACCCTCTGGTAAACGTTTACATAGCTATGGAAAATAACCATTTTATCTGGGAAAATCCACTATTTCTATGGCCATGTTCAATAGCGAACTGTTAGTCATAACCAGAGGGTAGATCCTGGCAGCAAAAAAAGAACGTTGGTCCATTTCAGTGTCAACTATCAAACCACATCACTATAGTTTATGGTAGATATAACTATAGTTAATGGGGTTTATAAACCAACTTATAACTGGGGGGCACCATCCTGCATCAATCCTGAAACATTCTGCGAATATTGACCCACACGAATCGGAGTTCATCGGCCTGCTTGACATGGAGATGGCGTCATCGTGGAAACAACGCAGGGATTCACAGGTCCCTTGAGCAACAGAAATCGCAGCACCAAGTGCAAAAGTCTCCAGGATCTGCTGGAAACTACTGGATAAGAAACCTCAGTCCCACTTCATAACCATCAAAGAAGTGAAAGCTCACAGATGTTCAAAGGGCCCAAGATATTTGGCCAACTGATTTCAAGCTCATCTTGTTGTTTCCATGTTGCCATCCTGGTTTTCCTCCAAGTGCCCTAGAACGCCATCCACTTTTGGTCATCAAAATGCTTTGGATACCCCACGTTACAACCATTGAACAATGGGGATAACAGTGTCCGTTACGACCATTAGTTTTAAGTTCTGCTCCGTTCTCAAACAGGCATCCTTTCATGGGTCATCTAGAAGTGGATGCACATGGGCAATCTTCATAAACTGCCCATTGCCAGGTTAGAATTTTATCGGAGAATCTCGAAATGGACCCCACTTTCATCGATTTTCATCGTTCCAACATCGGCGTTTTTGAGTCTTCAAAAGCCTCTGTGATTCTGTGAACACAATGCTTGGTCAGAACAAAATTCCCAGAGTGGTTTTTTTGAAAATCAGTTGGTTAAGGTTTGGGATTCCCAGAGTGGATTATGAAAATCACGAATATCCATGTGGGTTGGGTAAGTTATTTGTTGCCCCGGGATTTCCGCGAAATTTCCACAGGAAAATGAACAGATGCGAGAGGTGCCAAAGCGCCAACAACTGTTGCTGGCAAGAAATCTGCAGGTAGGACGTCTGTTGGGACTAGGATAGATAAGCGGATAGGTTATAACTGGGGTTAGTTTAGGATTGATTTTTTTGGTTTAAGGTCGTGATCTATTTGTTGGTGCGTTTGGTTTGTTTAAGGGTTGATTTGGGTGTTGTTTAGGGTTGTTCAGGGTGTTCAGGGTTGATTGAAGTGTGGTTTATGGTGTTTCTTTCGGTTTGGTTTAGTGTTTATTTGGGGTGGGTTTGTTCGCTTGGTTAGGGTTGGCTTGGGGTTGACTTAGGATGTGTTTCAAGTTGCTTTTTGGATAGGTTTTGAATTTATTCAGTGCTTGGGATTTACTTGGTGTTGGTTTAAGGTTTATGTGAGCTTGGTAGGGCTTTTGGGGTTGATGGTGTTTCTTTCGGTGATGTTTAGGATTTTATTACAATCTGTTTAGGGCATTTTTTGGGTTTGTTTAGGGCGTATTTAGGGTTTGTTTTGGGGGTTGTTTAGGGTTGGTTTAAGTTTTATTTAGGGCTGGTTTAAAGATTTAAGGTGCTTTTCACGGTTTATTTAGTGCATGTTTAGTTGTTTAGGGTGTTACTTAGGGTTGGTTTAGGTTTGATTCAGGCTTAGTTGACGGTGTTAAATTGCAGTTGGTTTATGGCTGCTGGCTTGCTGGCTTGCTTGCTGCCTGGCTGGCTGTCTTGCTTGCTTTTTTGCTTGCCTGCCTGCTTGCTTGCTTGCCTGGGATGGGAAATTGAAAAAAAAAGTAACACTGTAAAATCAGAATATGTTACCAATATCTAAAGGGTAGTACAACGCAAAAACAAAGAAACATGAATCAACAAGGGTTTGAACATTATGATGATTGGTCGGCTCTATATCCCACTAAATCTCCTGGTTCTCCCATGGAATTCCGCAAAATCCCATGAAATCCCATTCGATCCCATTGTCTGGTCGTGTTTTTTCCGGGTGACCCCTGGGACCCCGAGCCGGAAAGCTGGGCAAACACTGCTGAGGCTTGCAGCTGCCCATGCTTTCTGCCGCCCAACGAGCATTGCTCTGCGGCAACCTCAGGCAATAGGCCGGCGGATCCTAAAGCTAAATAGACTATCAAATAGGTGTTATAGGTGTTAGGAAAATTGGGAATCCTAATTTTAATAACTTCTGACTATAGTAACGTCCTCAAAGTTAGATAGAAGTTTTTGTAAAATCCTACTATGAATCATAGTTGTAAATTGAGGCTCTTCGGCATCTGTTTTCGGGATGGGGGGAAATGATAGCACTATAGTTTCCAACATCTCAACAACTATGATCCGGGTCTGGAAACCGTGATTCCAGTAACTATTCTTGGTGCTTTGCGCTGTTCATTCCAAGAATACTGTGAGATTCTATTGGGACCATATGCTTTTTGCCATACAAAAACTGGGTTTCAACTGTGCCAAGTGTGGCTCAAAAGCCCTCCTCTCTGCCCATCCGATGGCCAGTGATCCTTGAGATGCCCTGGCAACAGTTGCTTGCGCAGATCTGAGAGTTTCAGCATAAAGGATCCCCTAGCACTGCAGTTTTGGAACGCGCTGGGGAAGCCAGTGGTCATGTAAGGAAACTGGTCATTTTGGGGAAAAAACACTGGTCATTTCTGTACTTAAGATATCTTAAGATCAATTCGTCCTTTTGAATAGGTTCACTGGTCGCAAATCGTCTGGTTTCGAGGCCGCAGGAAGTTTGGTGCTGTGAGAATGATGAACGAAATCTGTGTTTATCGGGAGTGTAGTTCATGGTGCTAAAAACGTCGTGAAGATTGCTGAGTAGTTGAATTGAAATCTGACCCCTTGTCCCGTCACGTCTTGTGGTGAGGTGAATCTCAAATTTCTTGCTCCAGAAACCCAAGCGACCCCTGGGAAAAGGAATCACTGAATTTTGAACATCGTGATTTTCCATTGCTTTTTTGTGACCCCGGATATGAGAATTCTCTTCACTGCAGCTCACCGGGCCTATTTGGTTTCAGCACGAAGCTTCCGCTGATCATGCCTTCATTCACCACTGCACTGAAGAGCCTCACAGAACTCACCAGGAATCAAGGTTCCTCCATACTTTCCCGCAACCCACTGCGGGTTGTCAACAGGGTATATTTTAGACTCAGGATGGAGAAGGAAAAAATCTATGAAAAACTACATCCAAATACTTTCGTCCAAGAAAGAAGGTGTTTTGGAAATCCGAGAGCTTCCAGGTCTTCGTTTTCCCCATCAAACAATGGCATTCCACTGGGGTCAATCGGTCAGGTCAATCCCCAGGGTTCCATGGCATTCCATGGCATTCCATTGCGTCCAGGTGCCGTGGGGCAAATTCGCCCTGTGAGACCAAGACCTTTCCCTCCTCGGAAATCTGGCAGACCGCCTGTGTCCAGGGACCCAAGGGACCCGTTGCAGAAGGTGTCAAAATATATTCCTGGAAAAAAAGAATGAAGATGTTTTGACATGTCCCACTCACCACAAACCTCCATATTCTTGCTGGGTGCATCCCATCATACACAGATGGAGGTTTCCAATCCACGGGGCTACCCCCAAAAATCATCCATTTTTCCCCAGCTAGCGAACCTATTGCGGTTCTTACTTCAAGTATAGGATGAGTTGATGAGTTGGATATGTAAGTTTAGGAGCCGGCATGTTGGTGTCGCTGGTTGCTGGCATGTTGATGCCGTTGCAGGGTGCAGCTGGAGGGTGCTGCTGTCAGAGTACTGTGTGCGCTATGAAGCTTAGGCGCGGGTGCTGGTGTCGCTGCAGGGGGTGGCTGCAAGATGTCTATGGCAGTGTGGGCGCTGGGCCCTGATTTGCCACCGAAAAATATATATTTTGCTATCTGGGGTCTATGCTGGTGTAGTTGTTTGGGATTTTCCACTAGACTATAAACCATCCAGTCATTGAGGCACGATCTTTGTAGGAAAACCTCCCAAGTTTTTTGCAGCCGCCCGGCACCTGAGCTTCGGAAGCTTGAGACTTCAAGGTCTCCAAGGCAGACTGCAGCAAGTCGGCCTGACGAATCGAGACGCGCAGTGGGGAAGGTGGGCTTGATGAAATGCTGTATATATATAGATAGATATAGATATAGATATAGATATAGATATAGATATAGATATAGATGTACAGTCTGTGCATTGCACATTGGAAATATCATTATAGCTATCTGTACGTTTATATATATAGAGTGCATGTTTATCTCTAATATATATATATATATATATGTAATCAATATGTGTATATATATATATATGTGAGAATGTAGATACAACACATGTGTGGATATGGGTGGCAACTGGGTACCCCCAGTTGATGGGATGGTGAAAAAAATGTGTTCCCAGCGCCTCGTATGCAGGATGTAAATGTTAAGATAGCCTAAAAAAACACTCACCAAGTTGAACATGGGGATACCTAATAGTAAGATGTATCATTTACATATGGGATAAGCCCACTTGGGGGACTTACTAACCAGTTACTGAGTGGAATGATCCTCCAAGTATTGATCAATTATACTCCGTATAATCAACAAACCTAATCGATGGAATTATAGCTACATGACCAGCCAAAAAATTGGGATTATGGATGATATCAAAATACATAAATGAAGATGATTGGGAAAAATATGCTCATGTTCCATACACATACAATGATGGACACTATCATTGGCAGAAGCGCTTACAAAATATAGGTTCACCCCTCTTTTTCATTAACCAACCAACGGATGATCCGGACATCGATGGAGCTGTTGGTTTGGCTCTGGATTTTTCTAAACATGCGGGGGGTTCGGAAACCGCTGGTCGCAAACAGCATCTCACAATAATGTCCTTTTGGTAAAAAATAGAGGGGCCGGGAGCTGGTATACCATCTATCATCATTTACCTGTGAAAGGGGTAAACCTTCAAACCGGGGGTTCTTCAAACCCCTCTATTAATCAACCAACCAATGGGAATTTGGGACATGTTTTTTCGCATCTCATTTGGCTGGTGTTTAAGAGGGATGCAATGGGGATATGAATTGAGTTTGGATGATTAAACATTTGGGTGATTACCCGGCCTGGTAAACGTACAAAAAACTATAGAAAATCACCATTTATAGTGAATGTTCCCATGAAAAATGGTGATTTTCCATAGTTATGTTAAATTACCAGAGGGTAAACCCCCCTAATCATTCAACCAACCAATTGGATTTGGGCGCCTGGGTGATTTATAAGGCCACCCGAAGCGGCAGGCCAGGCCAGGTCATGATTGGCCCAGGCAGATGAGTTGAACAAAATACAATGGTGATAAATAAATAAATAAATAAATAAATACATTTATATATATATGTATGTGTATATGTATATATGTATGTGTATGTATATATATAGTATGTATATATACATATATATCAGATCATCAAATGTCTTCATGGGGGTCATTCCCCTTTATCATTGGGCTGAGAGTCAGATCTCAGCGAGTCACCACGGCTCAGCAAGGGCGCCTTCTTGTCCGAACAGTTCAAGGTCATGGGCGGTTCATTCCGCAAACTGCGGATGGCCACGAGTGATGCATAGCCCAACGGCCACACGCGCCCCAAATCCATCCAGACCTGGGAAGCGTTGCCAAGAAAAGCGCAAGGAACGGGTCTTTTTCCTTACGGAAACCTCAGCAATAAATTATTGTATTCGATTTATATATATATGTGTGTGTATACATAAACATATATTATATATATACATATCTGTGTACATACATATTATGTGTATATACATATATATATATATATACACATACACATACACATACACATACACATACATATACATATACATATCCATATACATATACATATACCTATACATGTACATGTACATCTACATATACATATAAATATACATATACATTTACATATACATACATATATATATACATATATATATATATATACGTATAGATATAGATATATATATATATGCATACGTGGATGTATATAGGTATATTATATATATATACCTATATACAAATATATAATATATGTACATACATATATGTATATACACACATATATGTATAGGTATGTATATATATATGTATTATTTTATTTACATATACACATATATATATATATATAATATATATATATACATATATATATATACGCCTGTATGTTTATATATATATATACACATATTTACAGTATATGCACATATTATCCCCTGACACCTCAGTTTTTATCCCATGATTGCTAGTTCTCCCATCTATACCGCTTGTAGACCGTGCCCATCTTGTGCCAGGCTGCTCTGCGACAAGGTTCAGCTGGGGCCTCAAAATGCTCCTGGATTTTGGCGGAAACACTCCACGATGATCAGCGGAATTTGGTGTAGCCTATTTTCAGACACCATTTCACCTGGAAACCCGCCTTCGGCGATGATCGAAGTTCCTAACAATGGAATCTGCGCGACATAGAAACACGGAAACGTACACCTGCACACATACATATCTAGATTAATTTACAAATCCACATCCGTGTACATACACATATCATGCGTGTATGTGTATATATATATATATCACTGCATTTTTTTCCCACTTGGCACAAAGTTTCCCACGCTGGCAGCTGAAATTGCAAAGTTGGACTGATGCCACTGCCAGGAAGAGCAACTGATATTCAGCTGCAGGCAAATAAACAAAAATTCACTGACACTGCAAATTGGAGTGGCCCTATTCGGGCGGCCAGAGGGAGGGGCCGAGATGCTGCTGAGCAAGTGCGCCAACCTTCATCAGATGGTGATAGCAAGCATCATTGCATTCTTTTCCCACTTGGCACAAAGTTTCCCACGCTGGCAGCTGAAATTGCAAAGTTGGCCTGATGCCACTGCCAGGAAGAGCAACTGATATTCAGCTGCAGGCAAATAAACAAAAATTCACTGACACTGCAAATTGGAGTGGCCCTATTCCGTCTCTTCATTGCTTCGACACTTCGACATCCAGAAAATTAAGTAACAGGTAATCAGAGGCTTCCTCAAAGGCTTTCACCCGTTGTTTAGAAAGAGGATCTAAACGAGAAACCAAAGTTTGAGCTGCTACTTCTTGGACGTAGTGCTCAACTGTCTTAATCTGAGCCCACCTTCCTCTCCATTGAACTTTGGCCATGTCTTCGCTCATCAGGTACAAATGAGTAGCACCACTACCACGAAGAACTGCTGGTGTGGCACCTTTTTGCCGCTGCGAAGTAGGGATGCCTAGTCGCGCAAAAGCGGCATCCCACCTTCTCCGAAAAACTGAAGGCCCGCCGCCAAATAGGCTTTCATGTGGCGGCAAATCTCCAAAAACTTTGACCACATATTCCAAAACCAGAGGCTCATCGATCTTGCAGTGCTGGCGCCTGGCGAATCTTGAAGTCTTAGGATTTGAAATGTGGATATAGAAAACAGGCTCAGAATGCAGCGAGTCCTGTGGCAGCAAGATGTCTTTCCTCCGCAACTGAAGAAACTCGGCAGGATGTAGCATCCCCAAGAAACCTATGAGGACGACTCCTAGGAATCGAAACCACTGCCAAATAATGCACAGGCTGGTCAGAGCTCGAAGAACCGGGCCTGAAATCACAGGCCGGCACTCGCCAGGCTCGGCAATTTGCCACTTGCGGTCGACCGCCCAAGCTGGGGTCAAAAATGCCTTCAGGTGAGGGAACATGTCCTGCAAGCCTGTGACTGTGTAGACAAAGAGATATCGAGGAGAACCAACGGAGCTGCCAGGGTATCCCAACCTAAGGCTTCAAGGTTCAGACCCACTTCAGCCAGCAACCAGTCATCAAAGAGCTTCAAACAACTGGCCATACGTTTTGACGTCGCAGGTGCAAACCCGACTGTCAAGTCGAGACGTCCCCGAGGCGGCCTCCCATGCTTGCCATGGCCTAAAGGACCTGGATTTCTCTCGATATCGCCACCCAGCAAAAGTAGTAGGCGGAGCCAACGTGCAGCAATTTTGGGAAACTGACTCGCGGTGACATGCAGGTCAAAAAGCTCAAAGCGCCCAGCTCGAAGCTCTCGAAGCCAATCAGGCTCTTCCTTGCACGGGGCCGGCACTGGGCGGTTACGTGAAGGAGCATCACTGGGGTTGTAACGGGATCCTATGTGCATGCCCCCTGGAAATAAACCCCCTCCAAGTATATATCCTAAAGATCCCTGAAGAATCCTGCAAATGGCTTTACTGCTGGAGCGGCCTTTTGCAGTGGCTCCTAAAGTCACTCGGGAATCTAGCAAACCAAGCACTCTGGAGTTCGGATGCTCACGGGCGCAATGTTTCAGCCATGTCTTATGGACTCTGCTCTCAAGCACGTTGATGTGCCCAGGCTTATGGAATTTGTACCTAAGCAGTTCTTTAAAAGGCAGACTGATAGCTAGATCGGTTATCCAATCAGGATCTTCATGAAAAGGTCGGGGCGGGAGCACTGACTCCGTCAACACTCCCTTTGGCAAGTCAACTGGTTCGCCAATACGGCTGCAGCTGCGAACAGTTTCTGACAACGGTATAACCCTGATAGCATGGCTCATGGATTGGAAACTAGCAGCAGCCACTCTTCTGCAAAAACTCTTTGGGTATGAAGCTGAAAATGCAGAAACGGCTTCTCTAACTGAAGGACGCCTGCCATAAACCTCCACAGCCCCAGGGCGACACATGGCGTCGAACTGCTCAATTGACTGTCTGGTGAAAGACCCTTCAATAACAAAATGGCGATGCCCAGAAGGGCAGCAGCACGGCAGTTCAAATTCCAACAACCATGGCTTGTTGTGCAACCACTGCGATGGCTTCTTGAAAGGAGACCCGAACGAGCAGAAACACAGTCGAGTGATGATACACCCTGCAAACACCAGCCTCTTGAAGATCTGCAAGCGAAACATGACTGAAGCTCCCGGTTGCTCAACGCTGAAGAACAACCAGAAGTGATTACAATCCACATCAAAAATGCAGTCCTAAGTGCTAGTCTGGTCTGTTCGAAGGTAAGAGGGTCTTCCAAATTGAAACCTGCAGGCTGCAGCTTAGAACGGATGCGCGGTCTGCGCAACGTTCCATATGTATAACATGGCGGTCCAGCATGCCAATCTTTGACAACTCGCCGCAGAGCTAAAGCTGTCAGCTCATGGAAAACAGAGTCATGCAAAAGGTCCCGGAAAACAATGCTATCGCCCCGAACATCAAGGCCACCATGAACTGAGAATCCAGCTGCTGCATGCGCGGCACTCCAGTTACCTTCACCCTTAAACAACTCGATACAGTCGTAAATGATGCCCTCGGCAAGAGCAGGAGGAACCTTGATCTCAGGCTGGTCCAGCCAATCTGCGGCCTCCGGCAGGTCGGGCTCAAGATGTTCAAGCCCTAGTTCGGCCAAAACAGATGCAGCCGGGTTCAGCAAAGGAGCATAAAAGCCCCTCTGTTCACTGTGCCGCCATAACTCGGCGACCACTTTGGGATCCTCTGGGCAAACGCAAATTCCACCGCCGGCAGGGCTAGCGTCAGTGCAGTAAATGGCCGGGGCCACTGCAACACGCATGTCACTGATGCACATGGGTCCTAAAAGGGCTAGGGCTGCCAGCTCATTCCTACACTGACGGGACAATATGAAAACTTCGTTTCTCGGACGGTTCGAGCCTTCGCTGAATGAATGGGACAGGACTGACAAGATGGGCCTACGAAACATCAAGATATGAATCCAACAACCTAGGAGACTGGAGAGTAACGCAGGAGAGCAGCATCCGCGTTTCACCACAAGGAGAGTGCATAGCATTAATGTGCCAATACGGTCGCGGGGGGCGGATACCAACCCCTGGACCCCGTCAACTTCGGCCCCCAAAAACGTTCCATGCTGGACCCCTCTCTTCTTCTTCTTAGGATGTTGGACTAGCCCTACTTCGGCATACGCTTGAGTGGCCCGTTCAAACACTTCGGTATCCCTTCCCCTAAGACCCAGATTGAAATGCTTTTTGGAAATCACTTGAACACCTATGTGATCATCAATGGACAACCATTCCAAGAACGAGCTTCTCGGGAAGGGCTTGCGATAGGCAACGCGCTGGTGATCCAGCATGCAACCAGCCACGTGCTTGAGCACATTGTGATGAGCTTGCTGGGCAAACTCGACAGCCCACGAATCGCCCATCGCCAAAGCATTAAGGGCTACAAACCAAGTGCCTACATGAATCTGAGGATTGAAACATTGCAAGTGGGACAACTCACTGGCGTCAAACCTAAGACCAATGCAATTGCGTTTTGCTCTAAGTTCTGGTATCTTAATGGTATAGTACATCTCAGCAAGGTCGTCCGCGCTGATCCTGAGCACTTGGTCCGCCTCGAGCCGGATCAGGGCAAACAGGCATCCAGGTGCAAGGCTCTTGGTGTAATGAGAGAAACTTTTCAACCTAGCATTAACCCTCTGAGGATTGAGGATGAGTCGGTCAAATTGCTCATCCTTTGGTACTGAGAAGATTCCTACTGCTTCGTCTTCCACGATTTGATCCAGCCGAAAAATTCGGCAGGCACCTTTTGAATCCCACTTTTCAGCCAATTTCAACAACTCAAGACGTGAACAATGCACTCTACCCTTAGGCTTATCGACCCATCTGTGAGATGGAAGTTTGACACTGGAAGGGTCAAGGAAAGCATCACGTACTATGGTATCTGTGAAAAATGGCAATGGATCAAAAGATGGTGAGTGTTCCCATTTGATTCTCGAAGCTACCACAGGACGAGCTGGGGAAGAATTTAACTCAGTCTCAGTTTTGTATTTCCGAGGAAGCTTAAGAGTATCATCAAACCCTAGGTTATCATGGGAAGGACTATCATGCGGGAGTCGCTTACCATAAGGATCTAGGTCATGGGAAAGTGCTTGCACTAAATTACACAGGTCCACTTCCTAGAGGTCAGGCAGTTCCTTCGCAACTCGCATCATCGAGCTGAATTTTTCTCCGCTGCGGCCCAAGGATGCGGCGGACACGGCATCAGCTTTCAAAAAGTGGTCTATCAAACGCTCAAGCCGGCAAACCATGGCCCATTGAGGGTCTGTAAATGCTTGGCCTATTGTAGCTTCCGGAGGGGGCCTAACAGGGTGGCCTAAGGTCTCCCAATTAAGAACACCAATAACCTTCTGCAACAACTGAGCGCGAGACTTAAGAAACTTTCGCCGGGGTCTGCGCTGAGGCGACAACTTCGCAGGGCCCGTCCAACTCCATCTAGGGATGGGACAGGGCAACAGGTCAAGGCTTTGTGAAGCCTTGTGCACGGTGTGGGAACATGGCTGCATTGATAGCCGGAGAAAACTGCTCAAGCCTACATGTGCAGCCTCTTTCATGGCACCGATCAGGCCTATTCACAGCACCACCTACGGTATGAGACAAAGCTGCACTCACTCCTGGGCTGCTACGGCTTGGTGAACCAAAATCAACAACTGCAGGAACTCGCATCTCTTTTGGAGCGGGTCCCAGGCATGTTCGGCTACTCAGGCTGGAGTGGCCTCGGAGTCGGCTTCCTTTCCCGACTGCTTCCCCTTCTTCTTCGGCTTCCACGGCTTGCGAGCTGGAGGGTCTTCTTCCTTCTTGGGATCCTCGCCTCGATCGGCAGGCTTGGAACCTTTCTGGCGGCTTTCCAGGAAGTCCAGATCCCGTAGATATGCTATGCTGTTCCCCGCTACCCAAGGAGCGGCGGCCAGCCGGGCATATGGCTTTATCGACAGCCTCTTCCGGTTCATGGCAATCTGCTGTAAATCTGGTTCTGGAAAAGCGCTCAGTAGCCAGGCAAATTGGCATCTGCCCTGATCCAGTGAAATCTGCTCGATCAACATGAGGCCCCGGGACATCAGACCCATCGCAAACTCGTCCCCCTTCTTGTGAGACATCTGCCATGCGCAAGCCATGAATTGAGCCAGGTAAGTCAGCAGGCGGTGATCTGCTAGAGCAATCCTGCGCTCCACATACTGCCTCATCAGCACACTGCCTATCTGGTGAGATCCCAGGCCCATATCGGCCGCAGCATTGGCCATCATCAAGCGGCCCGTCCCTACGACATCCTCCATGGCTTTCACATAGGCTTCCCGGGCGATACAGCCCTTCACGCCGTTGCTTCCAGAGCTGGCGCCGTCGTTGCCCAAGGTGGCTGTGATGCTGTCCTTGGGTGATTGGGCTTGAAGCTTCTGGGTATAAGAGCTGCCGTCTGGCGCATCTGTAGAGCCAGGATCTGATGTAGAGGGTCGGAACTGTGCGACATGATCGCGGCCAGATTCTCGTCGTCGATGGCACCTGCTTGCTGCTCTGCAAAGATGCCCTGGGCGTGGGTGCCGGCGTCTTCGTCCGGCACCAACCTCCGGGCTTCCTCGGAGTGGCTGAGGCGCTTCGGCGGCGGGCCCGCCATGAGTTTCAACTGTTCCAAAGCTGCTGGAGCCACAGCCCCCGCGGCCCGGGAAAAGAGCTCGCTGGCGCCTGCAGATCGGCGCTTGGGCTCCGCCTGCAACAGTGGAGGCACGGGGGCTCTGGGCGCCCCCGCCCCATGAAGGCTGGCCTGGGGCATCTGCGCCTCCAACTCTTGAACACGAGCTTGCAGTTGGGAGATGACCTCGGCGGCATCTGAATCGGAGGCCGGAACTTCGCCCTCTCCATCGGGCACGCCGGACTCGGCAGTCTGGTACTCTTGGACGAGTTCGTCTGGTCCGGCTTGTTCGGCAATCCAAGCATCTGCAACTTGCCATGCGGCGCGAGCAGAGGGGCGAGCCACAGCATTGCCCACTTTCATGCGCACAAGGTCCCCTCCTCCAGGGCTCCGACCACCTCGCAGTGATGGGGCGCGGCTGAAGAAAGGAGTGCACTCGGCAGAAAGATCGGCGATGAACATGACCCCGACGCCAAATCGACGTCCTCTGGAATCTTCCAGGCCAACTTCCACTTGCTTGTAGACTGCCAGCTCGGCGCCATCGTCGTCGATGAGTCCTCCAAGAGCAGTCTCCGACGAAGTCACGCCGGGGAGCAAAATCAAAAATCCATTGGAACGGCATCTCAATAGGTAGCACAAAATCCTCTCTTCTTGAGGCGGATCTCCCGCCGTGTGGTTCAAGCATAGGGTCGGAAGAACCCGACTGGGAGCTAACCCGGAGGCAAGCTCCTGCACGTCGCTGAAACTCAAAGGTCGGTAGCCGCCCTCAGGAAACGAGGCCATGTGCGCCTTGCTCCTCTAAGGAAAGCTTCTCCTTCTGAAAGAGTGTGGAATCCGTGTGAGATGCTGTAGTTCTGGAACACCCTTGGCCCACTAGGATCAGGAGTCTCAATGCAGGGCCAATACACCGAATATGAATCCGTCCACCAGCCAGCCTCACTCCGAATGCAGCGAAGGCAAATGTAGATCTTGTTCTCGAAAGGCACGCTTGGAGAACGAGCTTGCTTGCCGAACTCGTCGTCCAACACCCGTCGCGCAGAGATCCCTGCACGTAGAGCTCTGCCAATGCGAGCACGGGGATGCCAGCGAGGATCAGCGGAATCCAGAGATGGATGATTGGCCAAATGGAGCAAAAAGTTGGGGACTAATGCACTCAAGGGTTCAGGGTCCCTAGCCTTCAAAATCTCTATCTGAAAATCCCTGGAAAACTCAACGTCAGCAAGAGGGGCAGGATCTTCCAAGGTACGAATAACAGATGGAGGTGCAAAAACAACCCTGAGTTGGGAATTCCTTAAAGCTTCTTCGAGCCTCGGAACCGCTCCAGGTGACACAGGCAGCTGCTGGTCGACGGCTGGCTCACTGGCTGACGCGTCGTCCAAGGCCCGAGGGCCAGCAAGGGCAGCAAAGGATGCAGTGTCCGGAGATTCAAGCTCTTCTCCTGGAGCTTCGACAGGCTGAGTTTCTCGGGAGGACCACAAAGAGCTCAGGAAAGATGGCCACCAGCTCATGCACGGTGATACTCCCAAAAGCGCCTCTGCAGCTCAGTAGACCGTGCAGGTCCAATATCCACCCAGTGCGCAAAAGCTCCTGCAACGCAATGCACGATCCAAGCTCTGCAGCGCTGAGACAGCAGGCAGAGAGCCGTTAGAGCACCACAGCAGAAGCAGCAGGAGCCCAAAACTATGGCGCCAAGGATCACGGATGAAAAAGAGCAGGTGGAACTGGGTGTCGCCCAGACCCACCAACGAGCCTCGCGAAGGAGCTCGAACGCCCAACTCGGGGCGCTCATAAGCCGAGATGCTGCTGAGCAAGTGCGCCAACCTTCATCAGATGGTGATAGCAAGCATATATATATATACATATATATATGTATGTGTGTATATATATACATATATATATACATATATATATATATACATATATATATATATGTATACATATGTATATATATATAGATGTATACATATACATATATATATATATGTATGTATCATTGTACATGTGTGCATACATGTCATATTATATAATATTATATATATAATTATATATATATATGCGACCTTGAAAATGGGGCATACATCATGGAATGTTTTTGTTTTACACGTCAGTTCTTCTTCAGCTCCTCAAAGAAACAGGAGTGAAAGTTGATTCCATGCTGCACCTGGCTCTTGCAGGAAATCTGGATGGGCTTCCAATTTATGGCCATTCAAAGAGGAAAAATCATGACAAAGTTTGGCAAAATTTGGGGCAAAACCCGGCTACCCGGCTCTTCTTGGACACACATCGAAGAATTGATGGAAAAAAAATGACCATAGTTCCAAATGGTCCAGCGGAAATGTCCGAAAATGTCCATCGTCTGCCATTTTCTTTGGGTCGTCCAGGTCTTCCACTTCCTGGCACCCAATGCAACGTTGATGCCACGCCTCAAACTGCAACTCCACCTGTTCTGCAGTTTTTTGGGGGCCAGTTTTTACTGGCCAGTAAACTCGTCATTTGAAGGATCCATCCCTAGAGAAGATGTGGTCCAAAAATATGGGTATTGGAAAAAAAACATCATTGCTTTATAATGGCTTTATGGTAGATATAACGAACTAGTTAATAGGGGTTATAATGGTTTATAAACCCACTTATAACTGGGGGGGCCCATCCTGTACTACATCATTGCTTTATCATATTGAAAAAAAAACATCATACTAAAGCATCGTTTTCTATCTTACGCAACTGCTCCACAGCAAGTAGACGCATGTTGGGGCGACTTTCCCGGGAAGTCCCCGACAACTAAACGCAAGATTTTGAAAAAAGGCGGGGTGAGTTCACTATAAGCGAGTATTAGATAAATATCATGATATATTTTAAAAAAAAAATATGGATAATGATATATATCATGTTAACCATGATAAACCAATTATATTTAACCAATGATAAATATCATGTTAAAAAAGACATGTCCAATGCTTTATCATCATTGCCCTGTTCTCGTCCAAATCTTGAGTATCCCGCAGTCGACCAGTCGGAAAGCCAGTTTCATTACCGAGGCGTTGACCAATATCTTTTTGCACATATTTCAGGCTAGCCACATTTGTGGCTGTGTCCCAAAATTGGGAACTTATTGTTTTACCCGATTTTGTGGCTATTCAATTTATTGACCCATGGATAGATCTGGAAAAAGATGTCCTCAATGCCTGTGGTGAGTCTCCCAGAAATGGATTGGGGAAATAGATGGGGCCCATATCAGATAGGTCACTTACGGTAAGTTGCTTTACAAATAGCCTAAGTGGAGTTATATGAAGGAAACAGTAAGTATATAGTTGGTATATATGACTATATCTATAGTTGATATATGTTACTATATCTATAATTGGTATATATGACTATATTTATAGTATTTTATAGTTCTGGAAACCTGGAAGTTAGTTCTGGAGAGGCCCTCATCGATCCTTCCAAAAAAGTCTTGGGCATCTTTTGGGGATCCGAAAATCCAGCGTTGGTGCTTTCCCGAGTAGGGTACTAGGCTACCCCAGTCATCAAGCCAAGTCGAACGAAATTTCAACATGACGTGAGTCTTGACGTGAAACAACCATTACGACTTGGAGACCCATGACTTAAGAAACCCCCACATCAATTAATGATTTAAGATAATTCCGTTAACCATCCCATTCACAATCCCAAAAAACTACTAAGTCTACTATTACTCACCAGTAATCACCATTATAAAACAAGTAATGTCTATTCTATTCCGACCTTTGTTTGGCGCCAGCATTTCTCGAGAAACGACTCGTTTTCTCGGCCGTGCCTGGACTTCCTCTAAGCTACCGCTGCAAACAAGCTCCACAGATTCCATGAAGTCGTTGAATCCTGAGTGAACCAGAAAATTTGGGCTGAAAAAAAAACAGATTTCAGGCTGATCATGATTTTCTGCTGACATCTATGGCTATGGAATACTACTCAATGGCAATTGGTGATAGCAGGCAAATTATCCAAAAAGGCGATGGAAATTGTATTTGGAAATGCTGTTTTTTCGTGTGAGGCGTTGGGGCTTGACTTGAGACAATGATTCTGATGTTCCTGCTTATGAAGTTCTTCTTGAGTAATGATGATTGTATAATTGTGCTGTAACTTGATGTCATGATCCCCTGGTCATCTGCAGACTTCCCAGCAATTGAGGAAAACGGATCTGGGACTTTCCATTGCCATTTCTAGGCTTGATGTTTGAATGCCAAGCCATCAACCAGCTGAAACTAGCTGAAACATGGCTGGGATTCCAAGCATCAATCCATATGCCTGGTTTGTGACATTGCCTCACTAAGCCTTACTGACATGAATGGATGCATTTTATATGTATACATAAAGTATACATATAGATAGACAGACAGACAGACAGACAGATAGATAGATAGATAGTTAGATAGTTAGTTATTAGATATACTATACATTAATACATAACATACACAACTAAAACCCTAAACGCCCTAAACCCAACACCCCAACAGGGCCAAGTCGTCCATCTCCAAGGTCATCTCCCCGTTGCGCCGCGCGAAAGGTCACGAGGCGCTTGGGGAAGACGGGCTGCTCCTCACCCGGACCCGTGAAGGAAACGACGGGATCACAAGATCCGCGCCATCAGAAACTGAAGAATATGAGTTATGTGAGTTATGTGGCGGCAAACAAACTCCTCTAATCAACCAACCAATGGGAAAAGGACATCTATCAGAAACTCCATGTGAGAATGTGAGTTCAGATATGAGTCAGGAAGACTTCGGTTTCTGACAAAAGGAGGGCTGAATCTTGGGCAAACTCTTTGTGACACTTGAAATCGAAAAGTTTGGCACACAACAAGTGCAAATTCCGCTGGCAAAGTGCACGTTCAGGAGGTGTATGGCACTGCTTCGGGGTGCTCCTGCCCAGCAACTTGGAAGCAGGTGCAACGGTCCAAGAGATTTTGGAGAAACTCCACATAGTCCTCAGCTGATCACAGCATTGCTGCCGTGGAGCAGCGTAACCCGGTTGTGTCCTTTCCAAGCGTTGCGGTTGGGTCTGTTCCTGGATGTTCCTGGTGTCTGTAGGAACATAGTATAGCGGGTGTTTTTACGGAAAGTTCACTGTAAAGTGCATATCAATCTATCTAGGATCCTCTCCTACTTCCTACCTGAACTTGAAATCGGATCTTTAAACATTCCAGGCATTCCTTGACCAGTCAAATTCGCTGCATCTCGCCACCAAGTCTCATTTGGATCGCTGGAATCGGTCCACGACTGTACCAAGCGCACCTTGGATCAGGCTATGCCTGGAGGCTCACAGCGCCCCCCGCTTCCCCAGGTTTCACCAGGGCGCCAAGTATGGGAAGAAGCCGAGGAAACTCAAGCGCCGTCGACCCGCAGCAGCCTCCGGTCCCAAACGGTCCCGGCCGGTCCCGGAGATCCGGTGAAAAAATTGGCAACTGGATCCCGGGGACCATGAAAGAAGGGTCAAACCGAAAAACACTCTGGATCTGGGTATTCTCACATTTTTACTGGATCCCCAGTTTTGAAGAGTTGTTTGTGGTCTTTCCTTATTCACTCTGCAAAAAGCTGAGGGTATTCTCTGGAGATCCAGACTCGGACCCTGTGACTTGGAACAGGTTCCTGCTCCGGTACGCTGCTGAAGCTCGCTGAACAGGAGACTAAAAAAATCAAATGGTACAGGGCGTTCCATCAGTTGACACCAAAAATAGTTGGGAAATTCAGCCAGGTTTTGGTCCCAAAGTCCCATGGCTGCCATGGCCTCTTGCCAACAGTTCTGACAGAGATGTTTCTCTTCCTCCTAGCGTCGCTGAGCTGAGGGATAAAGGATATCTATCTTGAAAAATCTACATCACATCTGCATCTGTATCTTTATGCGTTCTAGTCTAGTCTGGAACAATACTGTGTCTATGTATCTATGTATCGATGTATCTATGTATCGATGTATCTATGAAACTATCGATGTAGTTATGAAAATATCGATCATCTATCGATTATCTATCTATCTATCTTCTTGTAGATAGTTAGATAGTTAGATAGATAGATAGATAGATAGTTAGATAGTTAGATAGATAGATCAATCGATAGATAGATAGATAGATAGATCGATAGATCGATAGATCGATAGATGGATAGATCGATAGATAGACAGATAGATCGATAGATGGATAGGTAGATAGGTAGATTAGATAGATTAGATAGATTAGATAGATTAGATAGATTAGATAGATAAGATAGATAAGATAGATAAGATAGATAAGATAGATAAGATAGAATAGAAAGAATAGAAAAGATAGATAGAATAGATAGAATAGATAGAATAGATAGAATAGATAGAATAGATAGAATAGATAGAATAGATAGAATAGATAGAATAGATAGAATACATAGAATACATAGAATACATAGAATAGATAGAATAGATAGAATACATAGAATAGATAGAATAGATAGAATAGATAGAATAGAATAGAATAGAATAGAATAGAATAGAATAGAATAGAATAGAATAGAATAGAATAGGATAGGATAGGATAGGATAGACAGATTCATAGATTCATAGATTCATAGATGATTCATAGATGATTCATAGATGATTCATAGATGATTCATAGATGATTCATAGATGATTCATAGATGATTCATAGATGATTCATAGATGATTCATAGATGATTCTTAGATGATTCTTAGATCCTTAGATCCTTAGATCCTTAGGTTCATAGATAGATAGATAGATAGACAGACAGACAGACAGATAGATAGATAGATAGATGCCATGTATGTTTATGTGTGTATACATATTTACATTTTATACATACATGAAAACGCGTGAAAAGATATGTACCTGCCGGTAGCAGACCATGTCACTGGATGGATGATCACACATCGCTCTCGGACAGGTCAACCTGTGAAAGGACATTGAAGGTGCCTCAGACATATGGCAGTGTGTCAAAACCTTGTGAACATCAAAATAGCTGGTAAATGGATGTTCATCCCCCTAAAAATGGTATTAATAGGTATTGATCCATACCCATATCTGAAACATGGGAATGTATATTATATGAAAACTCGCCACCTCCAACTATCACAAAAACTCTCTCCCCTTATGGTGTTCTTTTCTCAAAATGATGTACGTGTTCAAAAAAAAACATACGTCCGCACCCAAAAAACGTCCGCACCCAAAAAAGAAACACATTCAGGATTTAACCCAAAGAAAATATGCACCACAAGTTTGTGGGTCCTTCGTCCCAGACTTGGATGATGGGAAGCGGACAATGTACAGGCTATCATACACCATCAAAAACCATGTTAAACCACCTGAAAAAAAAACAAGGACGTGCCTTTGAGAGTTTTCTTTAGGTCCCGTGGCCCCCAACATTCCCGTTGGTCCCGTTCCTGCGTAAGCCCTGGGAGGAAGATCCGCAGAAAGCGGAGGCTCAGCTGGGCGAAGTCCTCCTCGGTGATCGTGTTGTCCTCGTCCTTCCTGGCAGTCCGTGATGAAAATCTGATGGGAAACCTGAATACGTACATACATGCATGCATGCATGCATGCATGCCTGCCTGCCTGCCTGCCTACCTACCTACCTACGTCCCTACATACATACATTACATTACATTACATTACATTACAAAAAGATCGAGTACTAAAGCAGTGTTTTGAAAGAAGGTGTTGGTTGGCCCCATGTTTGCTGGTGATATGCAGCGTACCCCTATGGTTGTGAGCGATACCCATTTTCCAAGTTGGCTTGGTAATGTAAGGTCAGGAATTCATGGTTCCCAGGAAATTCAGCAGAAAGACGGGCAATTTGGAAGCGGTGATCCGTCTTTGACCCTTGCCCCTGTGAGCCAACCGCATGTGTTCCAGTATTTGTTTATTCGTTGCAAAACCATGACCATGAAGCCCTTTATACAGTGCAGCCGAGCTATGGTTCTTTCAAGACTCTGTGGCACCATGCCATTCCCATACAAATACAGATTCCCTAGCAGCAATTGCGACCACCTTTCACTCGCTCAAACACTTGGGTCCAGTCCCACTGAGACTGTGCATATATTGGGTGCTTTTGTGCAATTGGGGTGGTGGCAGTCCCTGCAGAAGAAAACTGAACCGGCGATGGGGGAAGGAACACAATTTAAGTGAGCTTGCATCTAGCCCCACGCTAGCTCCTTATAAACTTGGTTATGGCCTGAAATTCTGGTGAACATCCAAACAGCTTTTGAATGGATGTTCAT